GGCTGTTTCTTGTATATTAGCAAAAACAATAACAGTAGTTCTCGCTTTTATGGCCACCAAGCCAGGATCTAGGATAAGGAAATGGGTTGGGAGCAGACTGATCATTCTCGTCCTGTTTGGTTGTTCCTTCATTCAGGCTAGTATTTGTTCTGTATGGCTATGCACAGCTCCTCCTTTCCCAGAGTTTTATATGCATTTCCTTCCTGGAGAAATTATAGTGCAATGCAATGAAGGATCCCTTGGTATGTTTTATTATGTCTTGGGCTACTTGGGATTTTTGGCTGTTGTCAGCTTCACTGTGGCTTTCCTAGCCAGGAAGTTGCCAGATACTTTCAATGAAGCGAAGTTCATCACTTTCAGCATGCTGGTCTTCTGCAGTGTCTGGCTGTCCTTCATTCCTTCATATCAGGGCACTAATGGAAAATATATGGTGGCTGTGGAGATCTTCTCTATCTTGGCATCTGGTGCTGGATTATTAAGCTGTATCTTTTTCCCTAAGTGTTACATCATTATCCTAAAACCTGAACTGAACGTCAAGGAACAGTTGATAAAGAGAAACACTTAAGCAGTAATTTCAATTTATAATAATCTAAAATATTATTAAATTATTCCAAAATATTCCATTACAGATACCACTACTTTTTTTTTTCAAGTTTTGAGGCATTCCTAATAACCTAATCCTTAACTGACTTCTGTAAAGAATCGTATAATTTGAAATTAAGGTAAGAATGACTTGGTGAACTTTTAAAGTAATAGCTGAAGCTTTTTGCCCAATGGTTTCATGTAGCTGTTAAAAGAAGCTGTACCACATAAAAAAGGGGGCATGAATTGAACCTCTTGCTACTATCAATACTGTTTGGGACTGATCGTGGAAGAAGAAGTGAACTAGAACAAAGTTTGTCACTCATCCCAAACTCCCTATGATAGATTTAAAGTATACTATGGTTTATAGCAGGGGTGTCAAACTGGCAGCCCACAGGCTGCATGCATCACTTGTAGGCCAAGCACATCCCAGCTCCGTGAATAGGAAAAACATCACAAACCCTCATGTGACAGCAATGTGACACTATGAGTCTGACACCCATGGTCTATAGTATCAAAAGCTGCCAATAAGTCAAGAAAACAAGGATGGATACAAAATCTTCATCCCACTCTCACCAGAGCTCATCTGTGATAGCAACAAATGCTATTTCTGCCCCATACCCTGGCCTGAAACATGATTGAAAAGGGTCCAGGTAATTAGTTTCCTCCATGAAACTCTGCAGGTACAATGCCACTGCCTTATCAGCCAACTTCCTAAAACAATAATGGCATTTACATTCTGGAGGATCCTGTAAACTTCCACAGGTTCAGCAGAATCAAACCAATCCCATGTTGATGATATTGATGATGTGACTTATGCTGATATCACTTTGGTGGCACTTAGAGAATCTTTCACTGAAGATGAAAGAAAAGTGTGCAAATTAGTCTGTTGGAAAATATTAAAAAGCAGGCATAGTCAATCTATTCCAAGAGTTTGAAGTGACAACAGACCTAATCTTCCTAGGTTCTGAATCTCATGATAATAAAGAGTTTACTCAAAATGGTACACAATGTTGAGACTGCATCTATCCACGGTTGTACATATAGTTGTTAAACTCTGAGAATGGATTAGGTAATATAAAATGATGCCTTTAAACTGTAGTGCTGGAGAATATTCTTTAGAATATCTTTGTGCATACGAAATACTACAGTACTAATTAAATAAAACCTAAGTATTCATTTGAAGCAGTAATAACAAAAGTAAAACTTCAATATATTAGATACATTATGTGAAGGCACTAAAATAGGCTGAAGCTTTGAAAAACTGAAGGCAAAAAATCTGAAAGAAAATGAGATAGGAAATACTGGCAGAAATCCTGTTGGAATGGTCTCATTGGAACAGTGAGTTAGAAATGATTGAATGATTGAACAATAAAGTAAAATAAAGTTCCTCTTGACAAGAGTCATATTTTACCCATGAACATTTCTAGATTCTCAAGAATAGTGGCCATGTTAGGTGAAAGATCAGAATTAAGTCCTCCTCTTATATCAGTTGGATTATTTAGTTCAGGGCTGTCAAACTCCCAGCCCGTGGGCCAGATGTGTCACATGCTGGCCACACCCCTGCCTGGTTTAGCAAAGGGAAAAAAGTCCTGATACATCACATGATGTTGCCATGATTTTGACACCCCTGATTTACTGTATCACAACAGAAGTTGCCATAATCATTTTCCACATGTATAGAAATTTTGAAATGTTCTGAAAAGTCATCTTTTCATTGTAACAAAAGAGAGAAAGGACAAGGAGGCTCTCATAAACATTGCAAGATGGTTCAAGTCTGTTGCAGTTCACTTCAGCCTAAAAAGAAACCTACCTGCATAGTAGTATTTAGTAGCAAATCTGCAAGAGTTGCAATTTATGAGATCAAGTCTGTAAAGGACTTGTGATTTTAAAAAGAGTCAAGTCAGTGTAACAGAATTTTCAAACATTATGATGAATCAAGTATGTCCCAAACACTAAGGTAATCAATGATAAAATAAAATCATATCACTCTTAGAAAAAAATGTTTCATTCATTTTTTTAAAAAAAATCAGTACCTTTTTAATAAATATGACATAGTTTGTAAAACTGTAAAACTGGTTTGAAAATGAAACCAGTTTTACAGATTTTAGTATCTTCCTTCACTTTGGTTATATATTGTAGCTCTTAATTTACTTTGGTTATTCCTAGATTCTATCTTCTATTGATTTCAATTAAGGCAATGCCTTAATAGAACTCTAATTTGTACCTCTTTTTACCCTGTGAATCTATTGCTAGCTGTGTTTTCTAATATATTGTATTTCATTTATCAGAGATCTTTTCAGGGTTACATACTGAATACCTTGTGAATAAATATTTTTGTTACTTACAAGAGAAGCAGGAAATTACACAATTTGGGCTCTATAACCACTGAAACAATTTACATTCTAGCAGAATATTTCTTTTGCTTCAGATATGAAAAACTTTATGTCATGGGCCAGGATTCAGATTTAGAAACTGACTCCAATTCTTACAACATTGCTCCAATCAAGAAGGACAGCTAGAATCTTTAAGTCATGATTCATCTGAAAATACTGAATATTGAACAAATATAAGCATTTTCTGATCAGTTGGCATAACTGGATAATGAGGTGTGTGACCCCCCTAAGTCCCAAGCCCTGAAGCATGAAGAGCTGAGCAGAGCAATGACAGTCAATGAGGTTTCCCACTAGGCAAAGTGTGAGGCTCGAGCAACTGCATCCAGCCAACGCTGCAGACAGGTTTATGTAGTATTCTGCCTTTAATCTTTCTTGAAAACAACCATTTAGAACCATTTTGGACCACTCTATTGCTGCTTAAACTTCAAATGGACTTATTTAGGCAAGCTTTCTTTGCACAAATTTACAATCTTGATGGCCAACTGTTGTTGGCTAGCTATTAAGTCATTGATTGTTGTTTACTTGAACCAGCATGCCCTTGGGTCCTAAGTATCTAGTAAGCTGGTGGTAAATCAGAAATCCTATTGACTGACAAAGTGCAGTTTTCCAGGCTTCAATTATTTCTTTATCACTTCTAGCGGAAAAAAAATGCCTTACATGAGCCTGTTTCAGAATTTTTATCGAAATTGCTTACAGATAGTCCTTCACTTACAACCACAACTGAGATCAGAATTTCCATAGCTAAGCAAGGAAAGTGAGTTGTGCCCAATTTTACAATCTTTTTTTGCCATGGTTGTTAAGTGAATCACACAGTTGCTAAGTGAATCACACAGTTGCTAAGCAAATCCAACTTGCCCCATTGACTTTGCTTGTTAGAAGCCATCTGAGAAGGTTGCAAATTGTGATCATATGAACCTGAGATGCTACAATCGATGTAAATACATGTGGTTGCCAGGTGCTGGAATTTTGATCATGTGACTGTGAGGCAACTCTGACAATCATAAGGGCAAGAATCAGTTGTAAGTTTCTTTTTTCACTGCCATTGTAACTTCAACTGATCACTAAACAAATGACTATAAGTCAATGGCTGCCTGTATTTCTAACAGGCAATCAAACTGTGAACACTCACTTTGATCATTATATTCCTGGTTCTGCAATGCTCTTAAAGGAACTGGAAGAGGTCACTCATAGAGAAAATGATATTTTCTGTTTTCAATTTAGTTAGGACAGAGTGGAATAGTTGCCAATGGAAAAGCTGCAGCAAAAACACCCTTTCCCTGCCATAGATTATGTTACAACACTGTACAAACTATTGTTTATTTCTTGATTCTACTTGTTTTGCCGTTAATCTGCATTAGGCTGTGTATTTTCAAAGGATGCATAAAATTGTATTTCAATCAAACCAATAAATTTAATAAAAATTTATTTGTATGTACATCATCCAAATAAATAGATTATTATCAATATTTTAGGCTAAGAAAATCAATTTATATTATTTCATTACAAATTCTCAAATCCATTACTTGTAACAATACTAAGTTTTCCTGAGAAAGTAACTGATTTCATTTTGCTTGTATTCTAGCCTTTATTATTTTTTTTACTTTAAGTGCACCATAGAATTCTACATAAGCATAAACTTTCATAAATACTACTATTTATCAATATATTGTTGTTTTTACCTGGTGTTTTATCTGTTGTATATCACCCTGTTAGTTTTGGTGAGATGGCCAGCTATATATTATTTATTTATTTATCTATCAAATTTATATAAATAAAACTTCATCTATCATAGATCATATGTGAATTAAGTCAATCAATCATTCAATAAAATATTGTAACTGAAAGTATTTGCTGACTTGATAAAATGCCTAGGCAGAGGATAAAATGCAGAAGAGTAAAATAGATCAATCTGACATAACCACAATGTTCCAAGTTATGTTCTCAAGGAATGGCAGTAGTATGTTGTGTTGTATAATCTGCAACAAATACCTATAATTAAGGAAAGCCCACAAATAGCTTATTTTATCTTTTTCGTTTTATTATTTCATCTCTTTTGTTTAGTTCTGGCCTCAGCAAAATAATGTAGCATTTGGGGAAAAAGATGCAAGCCAGAAGTCCAGCAGTGGAAGCCAACATAGAGAAAATTTCCACCACCACCATGTATTTTCCCTTGGTGCTCAAGTATGTAGGAATAAAGGATATCCAAACACTGCAAAAGATCAACATGCTGAAGGTGATGAACTTAGCTTCATTGAAACTGTCAGGTAACTTCCTTGTAAAGAAAGCCACAAGGAAGCTTACAAAAGCCAGGAAGCCCATGTAACCTAGGACACAATAGAACATGGCAGTTGACCCTTCATTACACTCTAAAACAATTTCCTCAGCCATTGAGTGCATATCAAAATCAGGAAAAGGGGGAGTAGTAGCCAACCAGATAAGGCATATACCTGCTTGAATAGAAGAACAGAAGAGAATTATAGCATTGGCTAGTTTTTTCCCCATCCACTTTCTCATTCCAGATCCTGGTTGGGTGGCAAGGAAAGCCACAATCACAGTAACATTTTTTGATAGCACACATGAAATAGCCACTGAAAAGATGATTCCAAACGCCACTTGGCGGAAGAGACAAGTCAATTTATGAGGTTGGCCAATAAAGAGCGATGAAGACAGGAAGCAGAGGAGAAGGAAAACAAGGAGGATGTAAGAGAGGCTTCTGTTGTTGGCTTTGACAATAGGTGTGTTGCGATACTTTATAAAAATCCATAATATCCAAACTGTGATGAAAAAAAAGAAATATGCAGAAATGGCTAACCCCATTCCCAAGGTTTCCTCATAAGACAAGAAGGAAAACATCTTAGGGATGCATTGATTTTGTTCCTTGTTAGGATAGTGATCTTCTTGACAAGTGTTGCAGGCATCCATGTCTAAAAGAAAGAAAAATTGAACTGTAAATGTTGTTGTTTTAACCATTCAGTCATGACTGACGCTTGGTGACTTTATAGGCAAGTGCTCACTATGCTGTCCTGTCAAGCACAGCTTCTTTTAGCTGTTGGATGTTCATCTTTGCATCAGTTTTGACATCATCAAATCATATGTGAATAAGGTTTTACATGTTCTGTTTTTCAGCTGCATAATTTTTGCCAAGGTATATTCTTGATATCCATTATGGAATCAGAATTCAAACTGGTATGGTTATCCCTATAGTACCATAACAAATTGAATAATACTTTCCCTCCTAAATGTTGCTCATAGTAGTACTTTGTGCACAGAACTTGGAGGAATAGGACTATTTGAAAAGAACTTAGATACCTAGTGATGCCATCAACTTGGAAATGAAGGATTAAGATAAGAATTCTAAGAGATCCCAGCAAAACGTACTGAAGGAAAATTCCAGAGCAAGGTGATTTATCTTCAGAACATTGGAATGTTATAGTTCCAAATGAATTCACTAGGTATTATTCTTAGATATGTCAGCGTAAACAGAACATTTAAGAGTGTAGGAAACTGCCACTTTTATCTCTTTTCTTTTTTATTAGAACTGATCTACACAGAAGGCTTAACAATATCATGGACTAAAAATATTATACCTGCTTGAGGAGAAACTTTTCCTTCTGGACATTGAACACAATCATAGCAGCAAAATGGCTTCCCTTCCTTCTTTTTCTTATGACAACCAGGAGGGCAGATGCAATTGCAGAGAGAAAGGGGTATTACCTGTTTGAACAGAATGAAGACAATACTACAAAGAAATAAATCCTTTCAGAATCTTTAGTTTTAAATGTAATAAATATGGTCTCTCATTACATAAAAACATCACTTTTCTGAGTGTTGTTTCTTTGGATTTGAGAAGAATAAAACATTTGGAGGTTTTATGTTTTCTGATGTGATTTCCATTAGTTTATATACCCAAGATAGTAGCCACAGTAAGTAATTTAGTAATTTAGTAAGTAATATAGTAATTTACAATATATTCAGTGAATTTTTAAGACTATCAATTTAAATTGCCAATGGATCAACTATTTATATCGCTGCTATAAATTTTATTTCATCCCTATGATATTCCATTCATTGGATAGGATTAGTTAGCAAAGAATTGTATAATAAGGTCACTTTTAGAAAATCTTTTATAAATGAATGTTTGATCCTAGAAATGGTAAGAAACTCCCACCTGATTAAAGTTTTTAGGCCAGATGATAGAATCCTCATTGACACTGAATTCTGCACCTTGACCTGTCCAGGGATTCATTTTTCCAACTTTTATTCTAACAAAGGATTTATTAGGAAAAGTTATGACATTTGTAATATCAAACCCAACAGTAAATTCTCCATGCTCATTCAAGTGAATGATTTCTCCAGCTGTGTTGTTAAATGAGAAGTTCTTTAGTATGAGATGGAGCTAGGAGAACAAAATTCATGACTGGTTTAGAACAATAATTCTAATTTAGAGAGCTGATTTTTTACTTATGGCTCAGTTATTTACAGCATAATTCTAGGCATGCTTAAATGTTTCAATCCTCTCTGCTCTATAATGGTTAAAACAAGATATATTAATCCAATATTATTAGATTACAAGAATTAACTAGTTGTTTAAAGATATACCATAATATAGATTCTCTTGAGCTTAAGTCCCAATGACTGCATGTTTATTGGATGCTCTTGGCAATAATATGGACTTAGCTTATAAAAAGGTCATTTGGAAAGTTTGGGATATCTGTTTGTGTCTTCTGAATATTAATTATTCAAGTTAGAGCTTCAAAGAACAATACAAAATATCTCACTGATTTACTTAATACATTGTCTATGGGGTCATAGTATATTTCCATTGGTATTGTCCATGGGCATATGTACATTGTCCTGGGGCCTGTATGGGTCCCTGGATACATTTTTCATGGGTACATATACATTTTGTCCATAAGTATATGAACACCGCATGTTGTCACCACAAATCTTTTTAAACCGGTGCTCTTGAAGAATTGTTCCTGAGGTGCACATAATTAAATCTGGTGAAATGTTTCTTGCCATTTACCTAAGGTCAAGTGTGTGTAAAATATCAGGCCGAATACCCCTCATTATTCTTCTGCTCACAATTATCTACTGTAATTTTGTATAATTGTAAAGTACATTTATTTAAAGTACAAAAGTTCAATATAAAAATAATAATGAATGACATTGAAGATTATTGTGGAGCACGTCAATATGTTCTTCAAAATATTAAGAGAGGATATATATTTCTGCAATGTATGTAATCTTTACAAACTCATTTGAGCAATAACTTTTAAAGGCAATGACCTGTAATGACATCTTAATTAAGAACTTGCCATAGATATTTAAGAGCTATTACCTGCCATGGCTGCAGAATCCCATTTTCTATTCCCCTTCTGGCAAATCTTCTTTTGAATGCTGAAATGCTTGAATCAATGATATGTATAGAATTTGCCAAGGCATAGACTGCATTGTAAATACTGTAACTGTGGCCAGTCATGCTCATTTCAAAGAAAGGGCCAGGTAAGCGTTCTAGACTCTCTTCCCCAGTACAGCTGTCATCAATGTTCTCCTGAATATTAGTGTTTAGAAAGGAACAACCAAATGCCTGTTCCCAAAATGTCTGAATGAAGCCATCTCTCTTAGCCAGATAGGGATTTAGGCTTCGAAGGAAAGGATGGAATCCTGGTATTTCATGAGTGTGAGGTGTAAAGGCTAAAGCACCATGGAAGATTTCTAGATTCAAATCCTTATGTAAGACCAGTGCTGCAAAATCCAACTGCCCTGCCATAATCCATACTTTACCAAACAATTTCTCATCATCAATATGTCTTGAATTCAGCACAATCATCAAAGATAACATGGTCCTAGTTTCTCCATGGACAAAAATAACATTGGCCTTACTCTTTATAATATCTAGTAATATTTTGTGCCATTTAATTTGTGCATTTGCATAGTCATCGAAAAAAACTAATACAGAAATCCTTGCAATGAAGGCAGGACAGATGCCATTTTGAAAAAGTATTGGAAGCATGTTCTTCAAAAAAAGCTCTCCACCATCATCATTGAAGATCATTAGGCATATCCATTTCCATCTGAAATGCAGAAGTAACTGGACAATTCCCTTGTACTGATGAATTTCATTTGGTACCAGCTGATAGAGAGAAACAAAATGGGACTGATCCCTCATCATGGGAGCAAAATCACCATAACTAAACTGGAATTGAGGGAAAAAAGTGAAATCATTGTTCTATGAACAAACTAGACACTCAGATAATATATCTATATTCTTATATTTTGAAATGTTAAGATTTGTTTTTTAAATTATTTCTGTTTCCTTCTGAATAAAAGTTTCAAAATAATCTAAACTCTCCTTATTCTGGTACTCAAAAGATTTTGAAAGACGTTCGTTAAGTTTTCACAATTGATTTTCTCATATAAATAGTATATAATAAAAATAACTAAGCACACCTGCAAACTATAAGGAGATTTGTAATGAGTTCACAGCAAGCTAGGATGCTGGATCATGATCAGCAAAATGTCTCTGGAAAAAGGAGACCTTGTGAGATTGCCCATAAGTGACTTCAGAGACTGAAAGTCAAAGGATTCCATCTTAATTCAGTGATAATGCAGCCTTTATAGACAAAAAGTCCAACTGAGCATAATTTCTTAATCACTTTTGGAATTATTTTTTTTATTCCTTTTGAAATATTAAGAATCTCTGGAATGATTAGGTTTTTATCACATTCACATCAAAATAGTACTTATAATGTTGCTTTTGGAATATCGAAACCAGACTAGGTATCTGGATGGATTTAATATAAGAATTTGAAATTAATTATAAGAACCCTTGCCTTTAGGAAAATATAGTTTTGGTTTTGGGGAAAAGTACATGAGATGGGACTTTGAATGTCAGATATTGAGGGAATCAGGAAAAAAAGCTAAAGGTTACAATTAAAGGGGAAAAAATTAAAATGCTACTACAGAATGGAGTTCTGTATGGAGATTTGTAAACAAAGGACTCAAAAATTAATTTTAAATATATTTAATATAATAGATCAATGATATACAAAAGATGTTACAGTAGAGGAACATGATATATTGGATAAGACTGGAATTGATTTGAATGTGGATTTAAGCATGACAAATTACAAGACTGATATGAAAAAAGTTGATATACTGGATACATAAATGAAATTGGTTCACATTTTAGTATTTAAAAGGGGTGTACAAATAAAAAAATAGAGGGCTGATTTAGATAACCTTTTTAAACTGAATTTATAAAAGAAATCTTAAAAATATGAAGTTTTTTTCTGAGAAGAAACAAAGAAAAATGAAAAGAAGCAAACTGAGGATATTATTTGAAGGAAATAAAAATCAAAATGTTGAAAATATAGAGAAGGACTATAGTATGCTTGTTTGATCAAATTTAAAATAGATGTGATGTTTCCTCTGGTAGCCCTTAATGAACTTTTGCTGACTAGGGATGAATGATGTGTCACTGCGTTTTTTTATTTACCAGCTGAGCTCTCATTTCTGGACTATCAGACTTTCCGTAGCTTGCCAAGAATCCTTATCAGTAAGCTAAACGGTGCATGTCCTCCACCCACATTCTTTCTCACACTTTTCTTTCTTCTCCTGCCAAGAAGTCCGACCACAGAGAGGTGACCGGCATGAACTTTATCAAAAATGTAACTATTAGATTAGTGAGATGTTTTATTTTCTTTATAACAAATAAATGAGTTTTCTTAGAAGATATATCTTCGGGTTTGTTTTCTTAAAGTATGCTGGCAAGGAAAGGTCTTGATCCACCCCACTTAATCAAGGTGTGATTATCCCAAAGGCAGAATGGGATTAATCAGCGCCCTGACACCTGGTAGCAGAGGGCGCTTAAAATTATGGCTTTTTCCTTCCTTGTTACTTTGATAACACCTCTAGGCTAATTAGACAGATGATTATTTTTTGCGACTGAGGAATGCTAATTAATTGTCTGCTAAGATGCCGAAAAAGAAGAAAAAGGGCAAAATGAAACTCAGAGCATTCCCTATTAATGATTTCAACCTCTCCTACGAAGAAGAGGCAGAAAGAAGATTTTCAAACTTCCAGCCCCTTGCTTCAGCCACATGCCTGGAACAAGAAGCCGTGGGAGAAGAAACAGATGAAATGCTCTTAAAAAGAGTTCAGAAGGAAGATAAAGACAGAGCTGCCTTTGAAGGTGAAGCACTACGACTGAGATCAGTAACGTCCCCTTCCAATTATGCAGGCTCTCAAACTGTCCTCCCAGAACCTTCTGAATTTGTAACGCTTGGTGCTGAGCCAGATTTTCCACAAATGGCAAAGCCTTTTTTCTCCCACGCAGAGAGAGAAACAATTCATTATTCTCCTCGAAGCTCTCAGCTCGCCCTGGATGAACAAACTATAAAAGCCTATCATAACCATATAAAGTTTTATGAACAGGAGCTATCCCAGGCAAAAATGGCTTTATCTATGTTTGAGCAAGATAAGAGAAAGTCTAGTGCTTTCAAAATCTTTAAAAGTGCCATTTTGGCTCCTTCTTCTTCGGAGCCAAAGACACACCCTCTGGTGGATTTTGTGTCAGGCCAATCAGAACAGACAGCTGTGCACACATCACATGTCTTACATAATCACTCCTATTCTAAAATTACAAGTGCCACATATGCAGAGAGATTATCTGAACTGCCCGAAACTAAAGGTGCAGCACCATCTGTTGGCGAAAGTAATTTACTAGAGAAAGCTGAAAGGCATCGCAGTCTACATGAACATTTTGAACTATTGCAGCAGTCTTTAGCAAACATGTCCTTAACTCATTCAGATATTCAGGCTGCAATGCAACAAGTGTCTCCACAGGCCCAAACTCTGGTGGTGCTGGTGTCCTTTTAGATGGAACACAACAACGCTTAATGCAGCAAAGGCAAATGACTGTGTCTCCAGCAGGTCATGCTAATATTGCAACTCAAGCACAAATGGCAGCTGGAACACAGCAGATTCCAGTGCAGCAACCACAGCCACAAGTGCATGCACAAGTGCCTCCAGGACCATTTGTTGGTCCACAACAAGCACAGCAAATATCACAGGTATCTTTACCGGCACAGCCAGCATACCAAATGCATGTTCCTCACCAGGCATTTTCTGCTCCACTAGCTGGTGAGTCCAAATTAAAGATGTCAGGACAGAATTACAAGGCCTGGATCAGTGAGATTGGATTGTTACTTCGCAGAGAAGGCACTCACTGTATGATTTTTAATCCCCCTGCTCAGCCATGGTCTCCTGCAATAAGAGACTTAGAGACTAAAGCTTGCACAACATTATTGATGTCCATGGATACTGAACTGCAGGTTACATTTTCACCTGATGCAACGGCCCAACAAATTTGGGCCCAATTGGAAAATTGCTACAGGCCTGTTTCAATTTAATTTTCATGTTTGCTCATGTCTGAATTCCATGGTTCAAGACTGAAACCTGGTGAACAAATTGAAGGACATTTGACCAAACTGAAAGGACTGAGAAAAGAATTGAGAGAAAAAGGTTATAACATTGAAGATATTCAAATGATCAGCATTATTATTAACTCTTTGAATTATGAATGGAAAGATGCCATTGCAAAGATTAACCAAGTCCCTATTGCTCAACGTGCAGTGGACCATGTGTGCAGACTTTTAATTGAAGAAGAAGCACTCACGTTAGCCATGCCACACTTGAGAGGACCACCCGCATCAAGAGCTCCAGCTAGGTGCCCCTTCTGAGGAAGGACCTATGCTCCAAGAATGCCAAGATGCTACATCTGTGATCGTGTGGGACATGCGACCCGGGATTGTCCCCAACGAGTTCCAGTTCCCATCTCGTACCACCCAGAGGAACAGATTCCAGAGGATGCAGAGGCAGAGGCAGAAGACAAGGTCGGCGTGGTCCCCGGCATGATCCACAAGCTCCACTCGCCACATTGGCTTTAACCAATGATCCACAACCTCAACCAGAGTATGACAGACGACTCCTGTGGACTTTGGACAGTGGTGCAGCATTGCATGTTACCTACAGAAAGGAACTTTTTACAGAGATGCACGAGCCTGAACCTGAACTATGTGAACTTTATTCTTTTTCCAATCATCCTTGTCAGGTCAAAGGAAAAGGAACTGTTTATGTTGAAGAGCTCGATGAATTCATTCCTGATGTTTATTACATACCAACAGCAACTAGTAATTTGCTTAGCCAGAGTCACTTGTCTAGAGCATTAAAATTCCAGGTTCACCACCTTAAAAATGCAAGTTACATAGTTAAAGATGGAGATATTGTTGCTGGAACCATATTAATTGGTGGTGTTTATTACTTAAAGCCAAAGCTTAAACCATAAACACAGGCAAGTACCCAAATCCAAAAAGAGAGAGCACAGGCCCAGAGAGAGATGCTCCAGAGAGAGATCCTGTTGCTATTCCAAAGGCTCCTAAAGCCAACAAAAAGAAAATTGGGAAACAGGTTGCTCAGAGCAACCCTGAGGTTCTTCATAAAACTGTTAATGTTGAGAATTCACTAACTGGTAAACCTTTGCATTCTAGGTGTATCCATAAATGGCATAGAAGATTGGGGCATGCCAGTTTCCGTGTTCTTAGGAAGATGCCGGAGTTCGCAAAAGGTTTGGATCTAAATGGGTGTAAGGTGTTTTTGGATTGTGCTGTCTGCAAAAAGGCCAAATCCAAAGCAGCAGCCATTCCCAAATGTGCTACACGCCTGTCAACACGCATTTTGATTTGGTTCACACTGACATAGTTGGTCCTTTTCCGCCATCAATTGGTGGTAGAAAATATTTTCTAACAATTCTTGATAATTACTCTAGATATGGATATGTATATCCTATGAAAGAAAAATCTGAGACTTTTCAGATCTTTAAAGACTTTGCAGCCCTTGTTTCTACCCAACACCAAGTTCACATTGCCAGAATCCAGAGTGATCGTGGTGCTGAATTCATGTCTCAGCGTTTCCAGGACTGGATGCGTAAGAATGGAATTCTTCATCAGATGTCGGCTCCTTACACACCGGCTCACAACGGGGTCGTAGAGAGAAGACAAGGAGTACTGCAAACCATGATGCGTTGTCTCCTAGAAGACGCCAACCTTGGTATGATATACTGGGGTGAAGCTATAAAATATGCAAATTACATTGTCAACCGTACTTGGAGCAGTGTAATGAATCAGACTCCTTTCTTCATGTTGTATGGCTACAAGCCCAATCTTAAAAACATCCATATTTTTGATTCATATGCTATGGTGAACATTCCCTTAGCTCAAAGAAGAAAAGGAGGTCCTACAGCAAAGAGACTGAGATTTATGGGTATTGGTGACAACTCAAAATGCAGTAAATTTATTGACTCTAAACGTGTAATAGCGACTTCCCAATCTGCTAATTTTGAGGAAGGTATTGACTGGTCCAGGATTCATTCCAATGGTCCTGGAGTTTATTTTCCTAGAGATGATACTGCTGATGCCACACAGATTGATGATCAAGATTCCACTGGTTCTTCTCAACCTGATGTTCCGTCTTTGCAAGCCATGGATACTGACGCTATCGACGAATGTGAGAACGAGAACGAGAACGAAGCAGAAGAAGACTGGACTGTTGTCCTGAGGTGTTCCAAGAGGGCCACAAAAGGAATCCCTCCACAACTATATTCTTGGCAACTGACAAAAGCACCCTTGCCTTTGATTTGCAATGTTACACTTCCACCTGATACGTTCACACAAATCAAGCAGCTTCCTGATTCAGAGCAAGACAAATGGTATGAAGCAATGCAGGCTGAAATGGACAGTCTAGAGAAACTTAAAGTGTTTACACCTGCAAAAACCTCCAGCAAACAAAAAGGTCATTGGCACTCGATGGGTCTACAGAATCAAAAAGAAGCCAAATGTTGTGTCATTGTACAAGGCCAGACTTGTAGCTCAGGGTTTCGCTCAACGTTATCCTGAGGACTACACTAATACCTACTCACCGACAGTTCGAACTGAGAGTGTAAAAATTGCTTTAGCAACTATTCTTGGTTTAGAAGTTTTCCAGTTTGATGTTGACACAGCTTATCTACATGCAGACCTAGATGAAGAGATCTACGTGAAAAGTCCTCCAGGATTCCGACAGCAAGAAGGGGATACCTGGTTTCTAAACAAAAGTCTTTATAGTCTGAAATAGTCTGGTTTAATGTGGTACTTATGTCTTACTGACAAACTAAATTCAATGGGCTTTATTAAGTCCGAAACTGATGAGTGTGGGTTCACAAAAAGATCTAACAATGCATATGAGATAGTTCTTGTTTATGTTGATGATATTGTTTATATTGGTCCAAATAAGCAAATGAGTGAGATTTTTGCCAAAGCTTTGCAGAGATACTTCACATTGAAATCATTAGGTCATATTAGCACTTATTTAGGTGTTCAGATTGAAAAAACACAGAAGAGGTTTAGTCTTTCACAAGAGGATAAAATTGAACAAATTTTGCATCATTGCAACATGAAAGATGCTAACACAACAAAGACACCCATGCAAACAGATTTTCACAACTTGACCCATGAAGCAAGTCCTGAGTTCAAGGATCAAACACTTTATCATTCAGTTATTGGGTCACTGCTGTACATTAGTAGTTGGACCAGACCTGACATTGCACTTAGTGTTAATCTCTTGTCTCGACACATAGGTAAGGCAAAACAGTTTCATTGGACATGTATTAAGAAATTATTGAGATACCTAAAATACACTAAACATATGAAATTATTGTTAGAACCAACACATACTGATTATGCAGGATTATGTTGTTATGCAGATTCTGATTGGGCAAGTGATAAGAAATCACGTAAAAGTACTTCAGGTTATATGATGTTCTTAAATGGATGTCGTGTTTATTGGCAAGTACGTAAACAGAATTTTGTTTCTTGTTCATCTACTGAAGCTGAATATGCTTGTGTTTCAGATGCATGTAATTCTCTAACTTGGTTTGATGCTTTAGTCACAGACATCTGGACACACCCGATCTGACCGATCACAGTGATGGAAGACAATGAATCGGTAGTTTATATTTCTGAATCACATTTCACAGGTTCTAGGTCCAGACACATTGACATCCGTTATCAAAACATAAAACATTTAGTGAAAAAAGGTTTTGTTAAAATGCAGTATGTATCTATACATGATCAAATTGCTGATATGCTCAACAAACCA